TCCCCCCCCCCCCCCCCCCCCACTAAAAACCCTGCTTAAGAAGACTGTTAGGTCGAAACGCGTACAGGGTTGCCTTTCCTACTCAATTTCAATCGCTCACTCGTATATCCTCGCCTTTTATCGTGTCCCATAAAAATTTCCACCTATTTTAGTTTCTATATATATTTGTATTTCCCCTAGTTTTTTACGTACATGTTCATCATAGGAGTCGGAGTAAAGAAATAAAGAACAACCATTTTGGAATACTGGTTCTCTCATTTTTTAGGTTACACAATGTCTTACACTAGTACTTGTCCAATTACCTATTTTATACCAAAAAATGTAAAACAAAAAAATGTATATACCTGCATACATGCAAAAAAATATCGTGCATGTCCTTTGACTGACAAAAAAAATGGAACAGTGTCAGGAGGCGGAAAAAATTATCGAGCGACCTGAAAAACTACCCCCCTCCCCCATCAAAAATCAAATGGTCCATCCCTTAGACGTCAAACCATCGAGCCCGCACCGACAGTGACGTTTTGATCAATCCCTCCTACCTTCCGTCCGTCCGTCCGTCTCAAACAAATTTCGAGTGCAATACGCTCCAATACAGCTAAACGAATAGATATACTGTATATAGACAAACGAATAGATATACTGTATGCAACCTTTTAATAGAATTTTCAACTGTTCTGTTTTACAGGATCATAGTGTGACAGCAGCATTGGCATTTCTTCTTGGTGCCTTACTTAATGTTTTACTGGTACGTATACGTATTAATGGTATGAATTGTCACAACTGACATCCCACAAGAACAAATATTCATGCAGAATTACCATTTTCTCTTTTAGTTTTACTTGTTATTGTTACCTCTGAAGTTAAAGATGTTCATATCGTACACTTTGGGTGGTCTACTTCTCGCTATCATTTATTATTTATGGAACTATAGAAATATTGTTCAAGGGTTATTTCATGTTTCAGTGACATTACTTGCTTTGTACCAAATACGCCAAAGACAGATAACTGTAAAACCGCCTGACTATAATGTTTAGACTTTAGTCTTATATAATTTCCTAGTTCACGATTTGGGATTTTACATAGTGACCTCATTTATACAAGAAACAGACCTCTCGTCAAGATGTCAGCACAAAACAAAATATCTAGAACAACTACTATAGCCTACTGTATAACCAGAATAAGGCAATTTGGCAACAAATTATGCTTAGCCTATAAATCATCCGCCAAAGTAATAAAAGTACGCAAGGGAAAGTTAGTTGACAAACTATAGTATGCATATACTGACGAATGTCTCAGTTACACCTGCTCAGCACATACTCAGCAGCCTTTGAAGGAAATTTCGCTGCTAATGCATTAGCTGCTAATGATATTCCGCCAACATGACCGCCATGACAAACCAAGAACGGACAGTTCATCCACGACTTTTCATCTTATATATGCAAACGATAATTCATAATTAAAGCGACCTCTTCCTGGATTTACTATATCTATAGGATAGGAAAATATGTAATATATCTTAAATACAGTACCAGTATATATAATTATTATAATATATACTTAAGGCTATGTTACACCACGGTTACACGAGGCAATTTTTGCTGCAACTTGCACCTCAGTTTCTGACATAGAACCACCTTATCTAAATAAAAGGTGATCGCAGGAAAATCCCTATGTGAAAATTGCTTAATTAATTAACATGGCCTTTATTTGTCCCACGCAAACTTGTGTTCTTTAGTCTTTATACCATTTCTAACAAAGAATAATAATAATATATATAAAAATTAAGGTACAACAATGAACAAAATCCACTAGGCATCTTTATTACTAAATAGTTTCGTACCACAAGATGTGGCACTCTTCAGATAAATTGACCTAATAGGTCAATTAATATATTTATATATGTATATATATATATATATATATATATATATATTAATTCACAGTGTCTGGAAAGTAGACCATGCGGTGAGATATTACATATATCAGGTCCATGTTGTTCACTGTGTATTTCATGCAGTCGTATATCTGTCCATCCACATGTTGTGGTTGAGGCTATGTGTGGATTGTAAGGTTATTCCTTAGGCTTAGTATTTAAGTATATATATAGGTGCAGTTTGATAATGTACATACTTACAGGGTCTTGTGCATGGGCAGACCATGCCGTAAAATATGTGAAACCTACGTTTTGTGTCATGTGGCTATATAGCTATTGATAGATAGAATAGGTACTGTAGATGTACAATCTACAAAAATGTGGTTTACAGAATCGGGCAGAAAATTTGATTATGCCGCAAGGATAAACTATATGTAAAATAGGTGCCTTTGACTAATCATCCCACTATTTGTGGGCTGGGTAGATGTTATACAATATACAAAAACATGCATGCATGCTGAAACACTTGTCGGAAGTTTGTCAGTTATTTCTTCCCACAAGTTATTCTGCCAAATGTTCGTGTGTGGACAGGTCATAATAAAACGAAAGGCCTCATTTTCGTGTCAAATACTTGATCATGTTTTGTGCTTAGTAATAGTACGGTTGAAAATTACTTTGTTATTGAGCTAAGAACAGCAAGAAACAAATTCGTCTTTAATCTTTGTGTCTTCCCCTTACATGCTGAAATAAGTTAACAAGAAAACGAGGCCATTGGGCAGAGAATAATCGGTAAGGTCTACTGGACACATGATGCATGCATGAATATAAACATCAAATTATTTACGAAAATGAAGATCATGTAATATACTGCTGGGTAAACATTTGTTTTGGCCGAGTTTGGTTTATATTTTTACTGTTTAGAAACCGCCCGGCAAGGGAAAACAAATCTTGATCCGACAAAAAGACGAATTTAATTTTGTATTTATTGATGATGATCATGATTAATGCATTTATTCTTACCTGCATTGTCTGGGAAAGAAATCTTCCGAGCATTTTTAATGAGACTGGCTATTAAAAACGCTGTGGCCAGTTTTAACGCTACGGCATTCACACCAAAATTAGATGATAAATTAAGGAATCTAATAACAAAGAATAAAGAATAAAGAAAACAGTTTTTGTGATGTAAAAACCCAATATAAAAAAAAACAAACTTAATTGTCTTGAAATACGATATACAATACGAAATACGAAATACGAAATACGATATACATCAAATACGAAATATATATGAAATACATGAAATATGATATTGAAATACGAAATACGATATACATGGAGAGTTTTCAGCCTGGACTGAGTTTCAGCCTGGTTAAACGAACTGAAATTGCAGCATGATTAGGCATTGAGCAGTTTGAGCTCGAGCTGAGTTTAGTCAGAGTTAAATTTATATAGTCAACCTATGCAGGCTGAAATGGCAGCCCAGGCTGGAATAATCTGAGTGTCACTAAGCTACAATCCTGGACAAAACATCTGCGACACTTCCAATTACTTGACAAAATGTCGTAATATTATCGTAAATTTAGAAAACCTCCCCCTTCCCCCCCACCATTCAATGTTGATTGCATTCGTAGAATACGGATAAAACGTCCAACATTGTTTTAGGGGGTGGAGGGGGGAGGGGGGGAGGGGGCAAACGAGTAAATTATTCCGGTCTAACTGGTAAAAAAAGCCACAAAGTGTGGTTTTGTCCAGGATTGTAGCTGTTTAGCTGTTACGCTTCTTTGAAGCATTCAGACGCTGATTAGTCGACTATTTGACTTGTGTGAGACTGTGGTTATATATGTAAAGTATTTAAAGATGAAACAAACACGCAAAATAAAGCCATTTAAAACGGTTGTTTTGTTAGCCCGGGCTGAAATTATTTGTGATTACATTCTGCCGGGCTGAGTTTCTGCCCGGCATCTCAAACCGGGCTGAAACTCAGCCCGGGCTGGAATTTTGGTCATGTATAATCGCTTGCAGTGTTTTAATAGGATTTTATCAATTAGGCCAGCCTGAAATTTCAGCCCGGTAAAAATCTTCATGTGATCAGTCCTATGTATTGTATTACGATGTATAAAAAAATTTCACGAGGCTCTTAAAATCAGTAGCTACAGTCGGGCGGTGATGCATGAGAATCAAGGAATTTATTTTATTTGGCCTTATGACAAGGTTGGCAAGATTTTTAATTTAAAACGTTTACTAAAGTACGAATATTTTGCAAATTGCAAGCAAAAACAATGAAAAATCTACATAGTTTCAAACACTGGTAATTTTACTACATTCTCCCAACGTTTTAACTTCAAAAGTTCATTCTAAGGTTGTTAATTTAAAAAAAGCGAATTTTTTCGGGTTTTTGACAAAATGTTGTAAAACTAACTGATGTCACCTACCCTAGCCTGTGCAGTCTGTGCAACAGGAGAGCCGGGGAAGACAGAAACGACGACGTTTGGTAAAAACATGCATGATAATTGCCGAAAAGAAATGTCTTTATGACATGATATCTGCGACAAACTGTCCGTATATATTAAATGTGTGGTCACCAAGAAGGCGTACATGTTTTTCCAATGACAATGTTGTCCTGAACGCGGCCATTTCCTCGGCCGTCCATGAAATACTCTCGGTTGCTTTGGGCAAGGCCTTCGACTTTGTGGATATGCAACCAGGGGCGGACTGGGCGGTCGGGCATTCGGGCGCGGACCGAGGCCAGGAGAACATTGGGGGCCCGGATTTCACTAGATTTCGAATGACAACAAACCATTTGTCCAAAAAGTCACCTATAGCGGAAATCAGCGTTATATTCTTTATAGCACTTCAGACTCTGCCCTTTCGAAGTAAACATTCAGAATCTGTAGCAACTGCTTTTGATTACAGTACACCTGTAGCAGCTGTTGTAAACCACGGCAATTTTCTAGGGGCTGTGAAACTTATTGCTGAGTTCTATCCAACCCTGGAAGCTTAATTAAATAAGGTAATCAAGTTGGAAAAGAAACACGATCCTAAAAAGAAAGGTCGGGCAAATTTTGTAACTTTTCTCAGCAAAACAAGTGCTGTAAAGATTTTCAAATCGATCGCAGAGATGTAAAAGGAGAAAAATGCCAAATATGTAAATGACGATGGCTTATTTTCTGTACAGATGGCTTCTACTACAGATGTTTCCACCGGCGATCAGTGTGCTGTTGTTATAAGGTATATAGAAGAGGACAAAGCGAGAGAAAGGCTATTGCGTCTTGTAAATGTGTCCTACACTCAAGAACCCAAAGTTTCCACAATTTACTCGAGAAGTATTTAGAAGAAGTAGGAGTTTAACTGGATATGTGCATTGGAGATTTATTCGACGGAGCAGCGAATATGAGTGGTGTCTACAATGGCTTACACACTCTACTTAATCAAGTCCGTCCTAGCCATGTCCATACCTGGTGTTATGCGCACGTCCTCAATTTGTCATTGGTGATGCATCTACCGTTTCCGTCCAAGCTGTAAGTCTGTTTGGGCTACTGAATCAAATAGCAAATCTCTTCAAAGAATCTTACAAGAACATGAATGTGTGAGAAAATCAGATGGAAGATAATACCGACCATGGAAAGCTTCGAAAATTAGCGAGGTTTTGCAAACCAAGTGGTCCAGCCGAGCAATCGAGAGCTTGAGAAAATTGTTTGGCAGTTTCAATGACGACACAATAGAACTATTCTCAGATCTGGTGATGGTTCTACTACACGTCAATGAAACACCAAATTTCAAAGGTTGTTTTCGATACGAAGCCAAGTGCCTGGGGCAAAATCTTTCAAAGTTTGAAAATGTGTTAGTGGCATTCACATATATTCGAATCTATGTTAAAAACGTTTATCAATGCCCAATGGAGTTAATGATAAGCTATCCAAAGAAGGCATTCGTTTGACAACCGACCTACCAGAAATTCGCGCAACTCGAAGAGCACCCGGTGTGCAAAGTGCTGAAAAAAATTTTGAGATAAATTGTCATAAAGTTATCCAGGATACAGTGGTTCTAAGCATCAGCAACTGATTCTCTGATCACAAAGAACTATATAAAGAGATTGCGTGCTTTGATCCTAACAAGTTTAAGGAAGTAAAAACACACCCAGAGATGATCAATCTAACCACGATGGCTGAAGCTTTACCTTAAGTAGACACGGTACATCAACTGAAACAAGGCTTGTTACCAGGAAATGATGACGATCTCAGCGACTTATAATTCAATTTACGTATTATTTTAAGCAAAGAAAATAATATTTTTTAAAACTCTACATTTGTACACTCGCACATGGGCCCGGATTTTACTTCTGACCGAGGCCCGGAAAGTTACCAGTCCGCCCCTGTATGCAAACTACAATAGTACAATACTTGTAATTTATATTAACATTGATTGGCCGCTAAACTCAGACCTAGCTTAATCGTCTCCCTACATGACCATGTTGCGGCTTAATGTAAGGGGCGGACCATTAGAAAAGTGATGGGGGCGGGGGGGGGGGAATTTTTTAACTTGTACGAATATTTTTTTAAATTTTTTGCTTGGGCCAATAATTTTTTTAAATATAATCCCTTGCAAGAACTTATAATTTTCCCTATTGAAAAGTCTCTGCACGAATTCTTTTGTCAAACTTTTTTGTGCGCGAATTTTTTTTTGTTTCCCCTGCGCGATTTTTATTTTTGCCCCCCCCCCCCTCCCCCCACCACTTTTCTAATGGTCCGGCCCTAAATGACCTAAATTTATTGTTTGATCTCATTGCGTTAGGGTCAGCAGATAAAAAGTGTTAGGTTTGCATAAGATTTTAGTAGTCTGCTAAAACCTATATTTTATGGAACTGAATGTAGGGAAAATTTGCACCATTTATGAGGATCTCCCTACAACATATATTTCATCGCGGGTTTGATTCCCACCTTGTCAGGCTAACTTTTCAGCCTGCCCGGTGTGGATATACACTCAGAGTAACATCAAAAACATTATATTCTGTTTAGTTACGATTTTGTGATTTAATAATTTTATACAATGTTATGTATTCATTATGTACCAGTATTGGTATTTTGTTATGAATAAAGTTATTATTACTGTTATTATATAGAATATTGAATATTCCTTTAATAATAAGACCCCCTCCCCAGCCTCCGGTAAAATATGTTGCTTCCTCCGTGAAGATCACTTTTGTTTAGAATATAAGCAAGAGCAAAATATAATTTAGTTAGAATAAGTGTTTTATCTGACGGATCAGAAATAGTGATCCCAAGTGAGGCTCAAAAAAATGCGAACGTAACAACCCTATGACAGATCGGCCCCAAGAAAGGGAACGTGCAGACAATGAGAACAAGGGAATGTTGTGATCTTGATATAGTCTATATTAGCATGCAGGTACATATTATAGATACATATTATGGATTATATTGTCTACAAGTGTTTATTTGATATGAAAACTCTGATAAATTACCTCACTTGACAAAGCTAATACTCATTTCCCTGGTATCCTAGTGTCTTGCTCTGTAGTACGTTCTGGGGTCGGTTGTATAAAACTCGTAACACTTTTTTATCACTATTTTGTAGTTAAATAGTGATTAACTCTCAGATAGGCGCTTCTTATTGGATGACGTTTCCACTTAACCATAGTTAACTTTAATCACTTTTTTATACAACCAGCCCCAGCTATTGTATTTGAGTATTGGTCGTATCTTCCTTTAGAAAGGCATTAGGCTGTGGGCCATTGTGCGAAAAAGTGCTTAGAAAAGCAATTTCGTGGCAACCAGGGCATTTTTTAACTATATAACTACTGGGGCATTTACCCCAGTAGGCCCTTTGCTTACCCTAGTAGTGAAGCATGATTTTCAGATGAGCTGGGCCCTTTGGATCATTAGTAAAAAGTCAATCTTGTTGACTGAAAATCTGCCTGCTTTCTCATATCCTATCACATTCTCGACATTCCATCTTATAATAGTCAGAACAGGCAGGGGCGGCGCTAAAGGGGGGATGTGAGTTTGGGGGTTGGAACATCCCAGTCGTCAGGTAGCCAGCAAATGATCTAATTTCAGTCGGACAGGAAGCAAAGAAACTAAAATATTCGATTGACACTGATTAAAAACTAATAATTGTAGTAAAATTTAGAGAAATATACGAAAAATTACGGAAAATTAAGCAAACAATGCTACGTTAACCGAAAAGAAAAGTTTAATGTGCGAACATTTTTTTGGTGTAGAAATGAAAACCCCCTCCTCCCCCGCCCCACTCGCCAACAATTTTGGGAAAAGAAATATTAATTAGCCTTTGAAAAGAGTCAGCAAAATGTCACTTACACGCCCCCCTGATTCAAATAGGGCTAGCGCTGCCCCTGAGCGCGAGCACAGGTAACTGTGCGGGGAAAAGGCCCTCATTGAGACTTGGCCCCAGTAGTTGCAATTTCTTAAAAAATGCCCTGGTGGCACCCCCCTGGGGAATAGATTTTCTGTGGTTCAATTCATAGTACCATACCTGCTCAATTACCACAAAAAGTTCCCAAGCAAAAAACTTGCCAAACACCGAGAAAATGAGTGATCAGTGATTATCCTCTATTAAATTGTATTACAGCAAGAAAATGTGAAATTTTATATTCAATTACAGCAATAATGACTTGCATCATCAGAAAGCTTACAAAAATCTACATATAAGACATTTAAACAGTTTTTTTTTATATCTCAAATTGTTTTCGAGTTATACGCTGTCAAAAACGCGTTTTTGACGTAGTACCCAGTCCTTATTGTGACATTTTGGTCCAATTTTCACATTTAAAACAGCAATAACTCAAAGACTTTTTGAAGGATAAAAAAACTGTTTGAAAGTCTTATATGCGGTTTTTTGTAAGCTTTCTGATGATGCAAGTCATTTTTGTTGTAATTGAATACAAAATTTCACGTTTTCTTGCTGTAATCATTGATCACCCATTTTCTCGGTGTTTGGCAAGTTTTTTGCTTGGGAACTTTTTGTGGTAATCGAGCATCTATGGTACTATGCCTTGAACCACAGAAAATCTATTCCCCAGGAGGTTGCCACGAAACGAAATAATTTTAGCCAACGGCCCACGGCCTACATAGCAATCAACGATGGTACTAGCTGTTACTGTCCCTCCAAGGATGAAAACAACATAATCTAAGATGCTTCTGACCTCTTGCAGAAACCTCATTCTTGAGTCAAATGTATGCAGTCGCTGGGAGTACAATTGTCCTTCGATATAATGTAAAACAAAAAGTATGCGGATTCAAAATGTTACCCATGTTTTTAAATCAAAGGAACACTATACTTTGTTTCCAATCGTCCTTTTGCAACAGCTGTACTGCCTGCACAAGTAGCTGCCCAGTAGCTATATATATGGTCCTCTTTCTTCTTCGACATCAACTGTCCTTGAAGCTTTAAGGTAAAATCTCCAAAAATGCTGGAACCATCTTCGTCGATTACCATTGTCTTCTCATTCTCCAACAAAAATCTCCGACCTTCATTCTATGAAGACCAACAACTGATTTATTATGTCATTCAGTATAAAGATTAGATATATGTATGTTTGCTCAAAGCCTCAAACATATGCATTGTTATGCTATATGTGATCATGATTTCAGTTAAACGTTACCATTTCATCTTGATATTCATCCATGACTTTAGATTTCTATTGTAATCTTTTTATACAGTTTACGAAATGCAGTCTGTTAATTCGAATGACTCTTTCGCATGGATATTTCGATATGATTTACGGCGGTGTGGTGAAATATGACACGAACGCCCTCTGGCTTTAGATTCTACAGGAATGTATATGTCGCTAATCCTCAATGCCATATCAGTGAGTTAGCCTCCTCCGCAGGCAACTATTTGGCAAAAATCTAAATATTAAAAAAAATCTAAATCTAAAGATTAAAAAAATCTAAATATTAAAAAAAATGGCAAAAATGGTGATCCCTAACAATCCCTAACTTTAAATTCGCTGTTATTCATAATACTTTTGCCAATTTTTGCAAAACAGTTGCCTGCGTAGGAGGCTAATTATGAGTCTATCCTCACGCAATCTATTTTTATTTCACGAACCTCACGAATCTTTGTTGGTTTTAGGAAAACTTCACATTCCTAACTTATACTGAAACCAACACATTTCTAACTTATATAAACCAATACAACTATACTTTGGAGCCGTATATTGGTATATATAATAAAGCTATAAAACGACCTAGCCTACTCGTACATTGATCAACTGACAACTGTCCGGAATTCATGATGCGTCATACCACAACCACCAAATAGCATGATTCAGCCAATAGCGTACGACCTTTCGAACAGTGCGTTCTTACAGTCGGACACAGAAGTGAATGGACAAGATACAATTAATTGTGGCATTTTTCTTCGACAACATCACTCTTCACGGCTCCTACTGGCTCTTGTATCCTACTATGAAGAACAGCAACATTTACACCAAAATCCCGAGAAAATCATCATTTATAGACGAAACAATAAAATAGTTTAATAAACAATTTGTTTTGCTTTCCCAACGCATGCGCAGTTAGGTCTACATACAGTTTTTTGTATTCGGTTTTGGAAAGTTTTGGATTATCCAAGAGCCTTCGTTTCGGGCCACAGGCCATAAGGAACATAGGCTCTGGTTCGAGATTGGTGTGCTGCCTTGGGCTTCGGCAGCAATCATACATTTATGGTGGAGGCATTGCATTTTTTTTTGAGACCGCTCAAAGTACAATACATGTATTTTTAAGACGCCCCCAAATCCATATTGAATATTCTAGACCACCACCACCCCCTCTTCCCCGCATTTTATTATTTTAGCTTACAATGCACACTTTTTTATTGCATGTATTAAATTAATGTATACTATAATAGTCCTTTTTTAATTGTTGTATGGTTTAGAGTGGTTTCAACATGTTGCACACAAAACACTTAAAGTCAGGGATGCCGGAACCACGGGTGCAGCGGGTGCAGTTGCACCCGTTGTCTTTTGTCTTCACAACTTTACGGGTGCACTACGGGTGCAGAATACGGGTGCAACGGGTGCACAAAGTGCCCTTTTTGCGTGAAAAATTTTCATTAAAAATTGCATTTTTTGCGCAAAGGGCATTTTTGAAAAATTCAATCTATGTTATTTCCGGAAAAATGTTTTAATTTCCGGAAAAAAATAACATTTTCCGGAAAAATTTTCGGTATGTCCGGAAAATGTTTTTCGTATTTAGGAAAAATTGTGGTATGTCCGGAAATTTTTTTTACCCCTAAAATGGTACACTGACCAAAAAATTTTTGGCGACGGGGGGGTGGGGGGGAGGTCGCCAAAAATAATTTTTAGATGCCCTTTCATTTTCATTAGTGCCCTTTTGTTAAGGAATATGCCCTCTTGTTAACCAATTGCACCCCTTGCCCC